AGATGGACAGAGGGACATAAGGACCTGGCTAAAGAGATTCTTTAAAATATAATTCCGACACTTACAAATGGGCTGACAAAGATAGGGTACCCTTCTACTTCGGTCGCGGGGATAACAAGAGAAATTATATATTCGGCTTGAAGCATATTTTTTAATATACATCACTAAGTTGTGTTAAAGCGAATAAAGTCTTCATTCATAAATTATGACTATTATGTTTAATTGTTTGCGGATAAATCGCACACTGTATACACCATATAATGTAATATATTATATATTAATATAATATAACCAAACACACGGTATATAATTATACCGTAATAAACGTTAATCTATTATGTACGATATTTGCTTCGATTACTAATCGATATTTGAAATTATTCGATACATTAAACTTCACTTCCGAAATTTCAGTGAATTTTTATGCAAAAGTAAAAAATCTTAATATTCTATCTTCTTCAGTCGATTGCAAAAAAATTTAAGGAAATATATATTTCTTTAGAAAATACCTTCATATATATATACATATATATATATGTGTATATTACATTCAATTAGTACGAATAAAACGGAATTGATTAGAGTCGAATGAATGCTTGTTCTTCCGTTTCAATGTTATCACGAAAGCGATTTCTAAAGGAATAAATTTTTCTCAAATCTTTTGCGTTCTCATTTTCGCAATCGATTGAAGAAAATATTTTAATTGAGAGATTTTTTAATTTATGTATACATGTATATAGGTACTTGAAGGATTTCCCAAAGGTTGAAAAAAAAATATATGTGTATATACCGATCCATGGTGGTTAAGCTTAACATTATATCAATATTCGCCAACTTAAGCTTAAAGCTAATTTACGCACATTAAATACATGCGAGAGGTATATATGTAGCCCTCTGAGCTTCCTATTTAAATTTCTTCGACTTTCAGAAGTTCGAAAACTAACTCATAGTCAGACGAATGGTTAAATAGCGAATTATGGCTATAAGTATACGTAGTTTGTACGGGATTTCTGATGCTATAACACACACACACACAGACACACACACACACATACACACTGTCAAGTAAGTGAAATAAAAAAACCTAAAACGCTAAACGTATGAGCGAGAATGGTTGATTATTCTTATGAACTTGTAAGTGTTGTTGTTGCTTTTATTATTTTACACTATGAATAGAACGCTCATAAATAAATATATATATATATATATAAATATATATAAATATATATATATAAATACATATAAATATATATATATAAATATACATATATAAATATATATAAATATATATATATAAATATATATATATAAATATACATATATAAATATATATAAATATATATA